ACACACACACACACACACACACACACACACACACACACACACACACAGACTCACAAATGTATATATGTGTCATATGAATACATGTTTGTGTTTTGGCCTCATTATAAAGCTAAAGGCTACATATTCTCGTTTCTGCTTTTAAATTCACACTATTGCAAATGAGAGTGCTGAGCAAAGTTCCCAAGTAGAGGTGGGACACAGGCAGAGGAGGAGAGCATTGTGTGGCCGAGGAGGTGAGAAGCCAAGGATCTTGCTTTTAAATGGGGTGCAGAGAAACAAAGAGCAGCATGGCTTGTGAGGATGGACCCAGGAAACAGGACAAGTAGGTTTGGTCCTACGTCTACCAGTAAATGTTCTGAGACCTCTGGGAAAGCGTCTGTTCTCCCTGTCTGGGAAATGGGGTCATATCAACTTGCAGTAAAAACTCTACAGATGGGGAGGTTCCTTACAGGTCCTAGGAAACAGTGTGAAGCTATCTTGAAATTCCCACAGGCACCTGGGCTTCCTGTCGCAAAGCTGTTCCTGTTCCTTCTGCTACTGCATCCACAAACTGCCCTTTGCAAATACAAGAGGTATTTGCATAACATTGTGAAGCCTGCTCTCTGGGTTTCCTCAGTGCCTTGTCAAGTCCCAGGAGTGGGAGGGAAGGACTTGGCTGACAGCTAAAGAGAAGACAATGTGGATAGTCACAGCAAGCTTCTGCCTTTCCCAACCCCGTTCACATGTAGACGCTTTCTCAAATCACTGCATCGTTCTGGATTTTTTAAAAAGCTATTTTTCTAACTCGGGGAACGTTTCCATGGAAAACCCTAGCTATGCGTGCTCTTTTGTGAGTAGGTTTTAGTGGGTGGAGATGAGGACATGAAGACAGCGGCATAGCTGAGGATAATGGAGGGAAGACAGACAAAGAAGGGAGATAACAGACAGAAGATGATAGAGTGAAAGACAGGACTTCATAGTACTTACAGTATTGTCCATATGATAGATGATTCAGTTAGTGTTGGCCAAGAGCCTGGATTAAGAGTTGCCTAATGTGCCCACACATGCTGTGCTGGTGCCCAGCCCTGTGAGTCCGCACCACTTCCCTGTGGACTCTCAGCTAGACTGGAATGGGCCGGACCTGGCAGGTCCACCTCTTCTTGGGCTATGTGTCATTGTGTCTTGTTCTGACAGATATGTGGAGCCAGCCACTCGCCACTCGGGGAAGATAAGGAAGTGGTCCAGAGCAAGAGAAAGAAAAGCATCAGGCAGGAGTTGAAAGGTTAGTGGCTCCAGGGGTGTCATACTAGACTCCAGGTGCTTAGGCCTGTTTCCGGGAGGAGGCCAGGACTAGGTGTGCTAGGAGCCGGGGTTTTTATCACCTGCCTCTGCACGGATCTCCCGGTTCTCACTAGCAGGAGTCCCAAGTGTGTCACTGTCCAGACTTGCTGCTTTCTCTGGGGAGTGGGACCAATAAGGCAGTGTTTGTAAAGTTACTGTTGTGGTGGCTTGGTCCCAGGAGCCCTGAAGAGGAAACCCACAGAAGCTCAGGTATGGCCAAAGCAGGGTTAGGTGCCTCCCTTCCTGGCAGTCCTTTGAGAGGCAGCCTCTTGTTTTGCTCGCACATAAGTAACAAACACATTTTAGGAAAAGAATTAATAGTAAAACATGCATCAAGAAAAAAGTGAGTCTTTCTACCATCTGTATTCACCCCAGGGTTAATGAGTCACTGCTCGTGTCTGAGAGATTCCACTTTAGACATTTCTCTAGGCACAAGTGAACATGTGCAAGTTCATAAAAATGAAACCTCGGGGCTGGAGGAACGGCTCAGTAGTTAAGAGCACTTGCTGCTCTTGCAGAGGACCAAGGATCGGTTCCCCGAACCCACGTGGTGGCTCACAACCATCTGTAACTCCAGTTCCAGGGAATCTGATTTGTTTCTATGACTTCCCTAGGCTACTGCATACATGTGGTAGACTCAGGTAGACACAGATACACGTAAAAATGGGTATTTTAAAAGGAATCTTACTTATGGAGCTTTCTTTTTCTCATATGTGAATTGTAGCTATCCTGTGGCAAAGTCAGGCCCAGCTTATTATTTTTAAGATAATTCATAGGATATTATTTACATGGAAATAATAACTGTTTCCTTATTCATGTCTCTTATTGTTATTTCTCTATCTATGAAGAGACTGCTACAATGAATATTCTTTTATAGGTAGTTTTGTGTACAATATGCTGCACAAGTACACTTGATAAAAGTAGAGCTACATTCCTGTTGCCCAAGCTGGCCTTCAACTTGCTTTGTAGTTGAGAATGACTTTGAACTTCTATCCTCCTGCCTCCATGTCCCGCCACACTTTGTGTGTTGGAATTATACACACAAAACTCAGGTTGACCTTGGAAGAGGCTTTCCATGCCATTTCTTTCTTCTCTCATCACCAGCTGCCTTTAGGTGACTTCAGGAAATGCTACACAAATTCTAGCACCTAGTGGGGAAACAAAAGAAAGGGTTTTAAAGAATAATTTTAAAGCATAAAAAGCTTAATGGCGCTTTACTGTATGTACTTCTGGGAAACCAAATGAAAATACCTACTCACTGGAACAAAACAGATGCTCGTTCCTTCTTTCAGTTCAAGCACTGTATGAGAAAATTCAAATCAGTTATTGCACCGATTATGGACCCTTTTAAGGTCAATTACGTGAAACTGATGGATACAAATGGGCTGAGGTGAAGCATGCACAGAATATCTTTGGAGTATCTGTTGGTATTTTAATTCATTCGTAAGGAAAAAGAGTTAAGGATTTTAATATTTATTTCTTGTCTTTCTTTGAGTCTTTCTTTGATTCATTGTGAGTTTCACATCATGTACCCCAGTCCTGCTTGTCTCCTCATATCCACCTTTCACCCTTGCAACCTCCCCCAAAATATAAACTGCAAGCAAACAGCAGCAACAGCAATAACAAACCCAAAGCAGAGAAAACATCTCATCGTGGAATCTGCAGTATGTCCCAGTGTGTCCCACAGTATATCCCTCTGGCCACACATCTTCTCTTGCAAATGGTCATTGCAGTGAGTCAGGTCTTGTTCGAGATCTCTGACTTCTGTGACACCATCATATTGGCTCCTCACCAGCATCCCTCCCAGTTATCCTGTTGTTCAGTGTCACAGCGATCCTGCAGCTTTGGATCAGCAAGACTGGCCCTTTCACTGATGCTAACCATTTGAAGATGGTGTAGATTTGGGGTGGGCC